GATACTGGAGTCATGCTATATATTTTCCTTTAAGTGAGAAGGCCTATTTGAGCCTTAACTTCTGTTTGCTTCTCCCCTATTTTGATTGTGCGTTTTTGTTTGTCGCCTAGACTTTTATCTTTTTAAAACATCTCAAAAGCCCCAACTCCCTCCCCTGTAGGATTAGTAGTCTCAATGCCTCCGAGACTGATAGGATCGGGATTGAGTTTTATTAGGAGTCTATTATGTTAATTGATTCACTTTCCGTTTTAAAAACAGTGTAATCCCTTATTTCACGCCGTGAATACAGTCGAATACAATAATCTGTCCAGCTGTTATCTTATGTTTCACTCCATGAATACAGTCGAATACACTCGAATACAACAACTGATTAGCTGGACTTCCCTGATTCACGTCTATTTTTGCTACTGTATTCATGAATACAATAACTTAAATACATCAAATGCATCTTATAACCACATAAAATGTATCTATAATCCGCAATATAACAAATGGTATCTATAGATGGCTAATTACTACTAAAAGGTAGTGCTTTATGAAAATTTCACTAAAATTAACACCATATGTGCATATAATTTAAAATCCATTATTTAAATTGCGTCGAAGAGGCTCGAGTTAGAGTTTTCATTAGTCTCATGTGTATTTGTCTCTTCATTAAGTACTAAATCTTTTTATTTAAGCACAAATGTTTCTTTATCAAGATTTTTAAGTCAACAGTGAGGTAATTAATTATCTGCATTAAATTAAAAATTACGATGGTGGAAGACATCTAGATTCTTTTATGTTAAGCTTTTTAAGCTTCTTAGGCCTCATTTGTTTGCACTTAATGGAAGTCTGAATCTTAATCATTCAGATCTCAGATATTAAGTGCGTTTGTTTTTAAAGTCTGAATCTTAATCATTAAGTGTTTATTTTTTTTACTTCACAACCACTTAATGGGTCTGAATAGGTCTGTATCATTAAGATCTATAACAGAGACTTAATTTCAATTAAGATGCTATCATATATTCATTATTAACTGCCGCCACCGCCTACCATTATTATCAACTACCACTATGCCACCACCACCACCATACTCAACCATCACCACCACCATCACCCCACCTCCACCTCCACCTCCGCCACCACCACGCCACCATCATCCTTAATCATAGCCTGCATTATCGACCATCACCACCTACTATTCCCACCACTCCGACCACAATCATTCTCACCCACAATCAACACTCATCCGCCTCAACTACCACGACAACCACCCCCATCACCATCAACAACCACAGCCGGCACTGCCCATCAATATAACCTACCACCACCAACCCACCACCTTCATCAATCACAACTACTACCACCACCCGACATTATTAACTATCACCACCCACCACCACCATCCTCAATCATAATCGCCACCACTACCAATCACTACTAGCTACTAGCATGAACCACCATCATCAACCAAAACTACCACCAACCACCGCTTCTAGTCGGCATTCACCCGTTAGCCATCACCACCAACAACTAACATATTTTAAAAAACTATATATTTTATTGATAGAATATTAAATTAGTTAGTATTTCATTTGAATTTTATGTTTATTAATTTTCGAATAAAGATAAATTTTATACATTTAGATGTTAAAAATCAAACAGTCTTAATTATTTCTATTCTAATCTTAATACACATCTTAATATATTCAGATGTGTATTCAGATTCAGACGTCTTAATCTTAATACACATCTTGATATTCAGATGTGTATTCAGATTCACACGTCTTAATCTTAAAAAAAACAAATGACGCCTTAATATTCTCTTATTTAATGAAGGTAGTTATGTTGACACTAACACTTTTAACACAAGAAAGAAAGTATGAATTATTCTTTGCATGTGCATACATGGGGATATTAGAATTTAATAGTTCTTCCTACTAAAAGTGTTGGAGTACTGTCAGAAGAGCCATATATCCACTTTATTTTGATAACCCCTTAAATTTGGCCATATTTTTGATAGAGTTGAGGTGGCCAATAGGTCATGTGCTGAGTTAAAGTGCCTAAGTGAAAAATATGGCCAAGTTTAAGGGGTTGTCTATGTATTCTGCCTAAAAGGCCTAATGAAAAAGAAGAGACAATTTTTCATGCACGTACAGTATAATATTTTTTAAAATGTGCATACTTGTTTGACCGTCTGAGACATCGCGCGAATATCCGTTTCATTTATGGGATAATTATATTTGAGCCACCCAAAAATATAATAGTCAGAAAATGTATATATTTTGTATATTAACTCTAAATATATACATATAATATTAAAAATCATATACATAATCAGTGTACTATATGTTTTGTATATTGGGCTACTCTACTGCCTGTAATTATTTTGGGTTGCTAGGCCGAAGATGAAAAAAGCCCTTCATCCGAACGCTGGGCCTGAGACAAAAAGCCCATTTAATTTCCTGAAGGGAGAGGTCCGTTTCAGCACTAGCCCCAAGTTTCTAAGGAAAATTGTACCATATAGCCTTTTTTAGGCAACTCTTTAAATTTTATCCCCTTTAAAATCTTATTGCAACTATAGGTTCCCACTTGCATATTTCGCAGGAGCAGCTTCCTGCATGTATCCATTTTTTGAGATTTCATTATCTAGAGATTTTCACTCTATCCAGAAAATGAGATTTTTTTTAGATTTAAATAGAGGTACTCCAAAATAAAAATATTAGGAAGTAAATCAAGAAGAGTAATATTGATTGAATGGGGAACTTAGGTGAGAAAAGTAAAAGAGAAAGGGAAGGAATGGAGTAGAGGATGTCGACTCATCAAGCTCATGACCTGAAGACTGAATATTTGAATCTTGTCCCCACCTAATCACTTGAGAAGCATTTTTTATATTGATGATCAACTTCTGTTATATCATTAAAAAGATAAAAATCGAAAGATGGCCAATATAACCAAATATATAGGGTAACATATCGATAGGATAATCTATACTATATTAAAAGCACGAAGACCCTTACGAAATGTCGTTCGTCTTTTTTACCCTTTTATAGTAGAGTTCATATTAGACAAAATAGTCATTTATTATTTTTTTAATATTTAGTAATAGTAATTTAATTAATTCCCTACTATTTAAAAATAATCATTATTTCATTATTCCTCTAATATTTATAATATTGATTTCAATTCCTTTCAATTCTAGAATTCAATCGCTTACAATTCGTACAAAGGCAGTTTCTTTCACTTTCAAGTTTCAACTCCATCTATATTTAGGAGTCTTCATATTTCTTCCTTTTTCGAATTAGGGCATTCATTAGTTAAAGAGTCAAAAAATAATTAATTTCTTTAATCGAAAAAACTATCGATAAATTTATTTATTTCCAACCAAAAGATTGTTCGATCCCAATATCGCAACTATTATTCCAAAACTTGGTTCAATTGATCTTTAACAAAGTAAAAACTCGAAAAATGTTATGTTATGTTTATCATGACATTTGTTTAATAAATCTGAATATTCATTCAAGATTATCAATATAACAAATAAAAAATAAAAGAAACATCTCAATATTACTTTTTATGTGGCTTTTTACAATTTTATGCTCATGACCAGAGGTACTTTCGTATTTATGTATTGCAAAAGTTGCTAATTTAATAAAAATTAGTTGACCTAAATCAAGGTTATGTTGAAGCAATGTGCTATTAAGATTTTTGTTTTTTGGGGCATAATATCTTAATATTTTACGATTAATATTGTTAGTGTTCAAACTTTATAATTTAGCATTCTTATGAGATGACCGGAAGCTTAAATATGAGTATGCTGTTTGATACAGATAAATAATCACAAAAATAATAATTATGTGATTCTACAAAGATGTTTGTCGAACAAGTTTTATTTTACAAAGATCTAATGACATTTTTAGGATATACTCTTGATTATTGTTGTTATTAAATTATTATTTTAATATTAAAATTTTGACGATAATTAGATTAATTGTCAATGTTTTGACATAAGTAAATTTTTTTACTCTTAGTTATTTAATTGTTATATAAATTATTTTCTTATTTGTTGTAATTTTGAGAATTAGTTATATAAATCTTGTGAGTACAAACAAATTTACAATACACCTAAAATTAATTTAATTGATCGCTGCATAATAAAGTTCGTAGAATTTAAATATGCATTCTTTGTAGTGAGTACAACTTTTGGTAACTGAAAAAGAAATATGATAACTTATAAAATTTATTTGGTGCAATTATAAAAGTATACATTTTCTTAAGTTGAGAATAATGACTAAGGACTGAGGACTTCTTTTTTTGGACTTTTTTTTTTTATTGAGTTAGCTATACATGGTAAATTCTTTTTATGTTTACGATTTTATACTTTATTTTATAACTCAAGTTTCAATTATTTTATATCTATATTTTATTAAGATAGGGTACACGCGCAACGCGCGTACCCTAAGACTAGTTAGATAAAAATACACGTCTTATCTGTAAAACATCAGTATGGATAAACTTTTCCTAAGTATGCAATAGTTACTGTTCTATTGATTATACATTACAAAAGAATTTTAAAAAGAAACCAAGAAAAAATATCAGCTTTTATAAATGGGGGCGGAATTTGTACCTTTTAAATCCAAAATATCAAAAGGGTAGATTTCCTACCCCCAAATTCAGAAGCACAATCATTGTTTTTGGTCCTTTTTTGAATTTTGACTTGGTCATCCAATTAAAATTCCATTCTTACCCCTACCCCCTTTCTTTACAAATTTCAGACAGATAATAGACCCCACCAAAAGAGCGAGAAACGCTGTCGTTTTCATTTGACTCGATCCCCCATATTAAACTTCAAATACTCCCTTTCCTCGCAACTACCCATCAAAAACTACTGTAAAAAGACTCAACACGTGCACCGCCCACATTTACAGGATTTTTAATCAATAAACAAAAATTGTAGTGGCAATTCAGTAATTTTGTTAATATTCAGAGACAATTGTCAACTCACCTGCTCATATTTAGCTCAAACACAATGTCCATATTTAGCTCAAACACGTCTTAGCTCTCTCATTTCTACTTCCAGAGCCCGGTCCAGAAACTAAACCGGTCGAGAATTTAATCCGGTTTATAAGCCTTCTATTGAACCGGCCGCGTGGTAATGACGTCCGGCACTCGGCTACCGACATGGAAGGAGAGAGAGAACAACAAGCGGAGAGAGCGGCGGCGGAGGGCGATCGCCGCCAAGATCTTCGCCGGATTGAGGATGTACGGTAATTATAAGCTCCCTAAGCACTGTGATAATAACGAGGTATTGAAAGCTCTTTGTAAAGAAGCTGGTTGGATCGTTGAAGATGATGGAACCACTTACCGAAAGGTAAACTCATTTTTACTACAGTATATTTTTTTTTTAGATTGATGATTCAGTCATTTGGATTTTGTAAATTATTTTTTTTAGAGGAAAAGGAAAAAAATCAAGAAGACGAATTCTTCATAGATTTGTTCTGCTCCAAAGTCAGAGTTTTCAGAAAGTCTGAATATTTCACCTAGATGCTCATTTGACTATATAGCCCCTGCTGTACTCCCAGGGTCCCACATTTTTCCTTTTGGAATTGATGGGTTGTATGGACATTTCAGCTGATTTCAGGGTTTTACCAGTCCTTTGATTGCTTGCAGCCCTGAGTTCTGGAGTCCTGAATCTGCAGTCTCTTTATGAAGGGTAGTTTAGGAATTTTAAATATTAAGGTCCAATCGTTAATTCACGGAAGTACAACCCCAAGGCCTTGATGTATCACTATCAGAGGTCAAATCTCACAAATGAAAAAAGTTACGCACTTAGTTCCATTTAGGTGGTGGAGACATTAAAACTTTTGAAACTTGTATGCCACGAGATTTATGTGGCTATAAAAGCATAGTTTAAAGTTGAATTGTTTTTAAATTATGAAGTTGTCATTCGTTTTGGAATGAAATAAATAAATAGTGCCACATAAGAGAGAACAGAGCGAGTAGGTTACTTATGGACTATCTGAGTTACAGCATTGTATGGAAGAAAAATTTGTAAGATGCCAAATCCTTGGGTTTTGTTATTGATGTTGGTTCTTTTATCTTTATTTTATATGTATTTATTCTTTATAATTATAGTTGAGGCTGTAGAGCGTGTGGGGAAATCAATTTTGGATGTGATGTGGAGAAAGGCTGTTGATGGACTAGGAGGTGAGGGGGTAACGTGTTTGCTGGAATTGCAGTTTAATCATAGAGTTGACATTATAATTGGATATGGACACCCTTTCTCAAAAGTTGTTGGGATGGTAGGGTTACAATTATGTAATATTTTGATGGTGCCGTCATTCTATGTTGTTTATGCCTTTATGGCTTGTTTTGGCAATTGGGTTATGTCCAATTCTTATGGGTATGTTTGGATACTTTTATCATTAACATGTGGGGCTTTAGTGGACATGGTGCCTGAGTCTTGATCAACAGGATGAGAGGGAGGACCAACTTAAAATGATTTTTGTGGCTGAAAGTTGAAAATGTGCCATTTGAGAATAACCAAGATGATGACAAATAGGATTTTGAATTTTTCAAGTGGGTGTCAAATGTAGCCTAAATAAGGAAAACTAGAGGTCGAGCACAGATGTGGTTGGAGCGTGTAAATGAGTTTTGAAAACTTTTATTGATATATGGAGAACGATTATAATTAGGATTAATGGGGAGCTTTTTTATGTGGGAACAATTATAATTGAACTCAATAAATAAGTATTAATGGCTACTCAATATGCTATTTCAGAACATTGAATAAGTTCAGAATGTCTCAGTCAATTAGAGAATGTCCTCACTTTCTGGAAATAGACTTGGCTCTTTTTAGACCAACAGAGTATTCTTTATTTCCCTTTAGATAATGTGGATTTGCCCTACTTCGTTACCATTTCAAGCTACTAGGAATTTTTTCTTTGGAAAAAACTATGCTCATTGAAAATATCAGAATTTACCAATTTAAATACTCGATACATGCCAATGTAATATTTCTAGTTTGACAGATGTGTCTCTTAGATTTAGGGGAAGAGTTGAATATTTTAATTGTTTTCTATTAGTTGGAAAGATGTAGGTTCATATGTTAACTCTATCATTTTTGGAGTACAATACAGAAGAATTGTGATAGAAATAGCAAAAATTGGGGCCCCCTTAAGTGTTATGTTAAACTGAATGTTTTAAAACATTGCTTAAAGGGAGACCAATTTGGGAGGATCAAAAAGGAATGTTTAAATTGCTGAACCACATTTACATCTGTTTGAAACTTTTGGTTGACCTAAACTGGAAGATCTCTTAAAATGTGTATATGCGTAAATGAGCCTAAAGAGGTCACAAGTCAAGATGCCGGGTCCTGCATGTAAATGTCGATGGGTTATTTGATAGTCTTTTTTTATTGCTACTCGTAGTTATTGTTTTAATTTGGTAGCTGCTGCTTTTTTTAGCCCATCTATGCTACTGGTTCTCCTAAAAGGTCACTTTCGTATACTTTCTTTGCTAAATCATGAGATAAATTGACCATCCCATGGGTACCAAGCAGGATGATTCTTTCAATCTATGGCATGTTTTGACTTTGTTTTTGAAGAGTTAAATTGGTTGGTCAATGGTGTTGTGGAAGTTGGCTACTTACAAATAGCAAGATGTGCACAACCTAAATGTAGGTACTCCTCATTCCATGACAATTTATATGTTCATTAAAAGAGTGGAAGCTTCTGATTTAGGGCATCTTCATGCTGCTGATAGATGTACGCGAATGAGCTATAATATATTAGTCACTTAATTGATGAATCTGGCCTAAGTAATAACTAAGTTACACTTTCTGGAACTTAAGCAATTGAAGTCATGTGAAGGGGACGCTTTTACGCTTTAAAAAGATCTCGGGACGCCCTTAATCATCTAATCTTTCAAGTCTGCATTTGCAAATGTCAGCTCTCTTTCTGCTATAATAGCATAATTCTGGTGAAGCGCTCACTGTTGACTATTTGATTTGCCCCCTTTATTGCTGCTTATCATCTGTTCTTTTCTGCAGGGTTGCAAGCCAGTACACCACATGGATGTTATTGGTGGTTCGGCATCAGTAAGCCCTTGTTCGTCTTACCAACTGAGCCCTGGTGCTTCGTATAACCCAAGTCCCGCTTCATCATCTATCCCCAGCCCGGTCTCATCCCATTATATTGCCAATGTCCAAAATAATTCTGATCCCAACTCGCTCATTCCTTGGCTTAAGAACCTATCATCTGGCTCATCACCTTCCTCATCTAACTTTCCCCACCATCTGTGCATTCCTGGAGATTCTATAAGTGCTCCTGTGACACCACCTTCGAGCTCTCCCACTGCCCGTACTCCTAGAATGAATGATAATTGGGAAAATCCCACGGCCAATTCAACATGGATACAACATCATTATCCCTTCTTGCCCTTCTCAACCCCTCCTAGTCCTGGTGGTCGCCAAACCCCACCAGATTCAGGATGGCTTTCTGGCGTTCAAACTCCACAGGATGGGCCTTCATCTCCCACATTCAGCCTTGTCTCATCAAATCCATTTGGATTTAAGGAGCCACTATCAAATGGAGGGTCTCGAATGTGGACACCTGGGCAAAGTGGGACATGTTCACCTGCAGTTGGAGCTGGTATGGACCAAACAGCTGATATACCAATGTCGGATGTTATCTCAGCAGAGTTCGCATTTGGCAGCAACGTGAAGGGAGTAGTAAAGCCATGGGAAGGAGAAAGAATTCACGAAGAGTGTGTCAGTGATGATCTTGAGCTTACACTTGGGAACTCCAGCACTAGGTAAACTTTCTTATTTGAACCTTTGAAGCAAACACACTTACGCAACTCTAGCCCCAACACCCCCCCCCCCTCTCCCCTCCTTCCCTCTCTTTCTCTCTCTCAAAAGTAAGTCTTCTTCTTAAAAGTAGCTGATTAGTGTTCTTTTGCTGCTTTGCAGATAGCAAGTGCGAGTAGAAAGTGAAAATCTATGCTTATATGATCATTGCAAAGTTTGGAAGCTTTTAACTTCATGTATTGGTCATTTCTCCTGAATGTGAAGATACTCTGGTTCAGGGAAAACCAGAAAGTCACAAATACTGAGTAGGAACAGCAGTTAATTTTCCTTCTCTTGTTTTCTTCAAGAGGAGATAGCTCATGTGAAGTCTTTTTTTTTTCTTTTTTTTTTTGTCCATTGGGGGAACGTTATCGTATTTTCTCTAATATTCTCCCCTGTTCTTCTGATTCTTTTCACTTTCAGTGTTGAATTTGTTTGTAGTTACCCTGTTGTAATTGTTCACTCGATATAGTAAGTAGCTAGAGTTGACTAACAAGAATCTGTCTTTCTGTACCTTTTATTCATTTGTTTTTTCCTTATAAACTTCATTTATAAACAGAGTGATTTTGTTGTAGAGTAGGCTCTACCAGGTTTGTCTAAGTTTTGATAGCGACTAGTGAGAAAATTCAAGGTAAATGCCTTCGTCCATAGCCTTAATGACATCTCGAAGGGCTGAACAATATTGGTTGGAGTTAACAGCTGAGGCTGCCATCAAATTCTTAACAGAACGAAGCATTTAAAATGAAGGGAGTTATTCGATGCATGCAATGATATACTCCTGAAGGAATGGCTACCGTGATAATGGTAATTCTCCCTAAGCTTCTGAACATAGAGATATCAAATGCTTACATTCCTTATGGTATATATTTATCCAGAAAAGCTCTCAAGAGTATATCAACTCTCATTAACTAAAATAACATAGAGTTTCTGTTTGTCTGACTCACATTTTTTTAAGACGAACATAGGAGGAACTACAAAATGTAGTATATTAATATTCTGCATCTTGCTATCAATCGTATTGGAGTGATTTTACAAATAACAGAGAGGCAGGTCAATTTACTTGAGATGGGCTTATGCTTACAGATCGTAAGTCACATAGCTTTTAATTTTAATAGCTTAAAAATAAAAAATACATTAAGAAGATGATAAAGTAAAAAAATACAGAAAATATTAGAATCATATAAAGTCCAAAATAAAAAATGTAAAAATATCAACTTAACCATCTAAGCAGAATAACGTGTGTATATAGTATTCTAAATCACTAAATATTTAATCATCTAACAAGATAATATTTATTATTGTCCAAGTTATAGTATTTTAAAGAAAATTCAGAAATAAAATACTATAGGACAGATAACCCAAGTGTAAAGCGCAAAGGAGCGAAATGTACGAGGCAAACAACCTAAAACATAACACGAGAAAGAGACGAACCTCTCACCTACTAAGGAGTTAGCTATCTTCTTTAAAGCTTGGCCTTAATGTTACAGTGGAAAATGTGGCAGCAGAACTACCATTGCAAATCAAGAATTAGGGTTATCAGGTATTATTGGATAATTGTCCGAGTAACAGAACAAACGCCACAACACAACTCTTTTCATCCATTTTTTTCACTCCCAAATTGACTGCCAAATTGCCAATAGATTCAGTGAGCAAGGATACCCTCCCAGCAAAGATCATGATTATATTTACAATTCTTCTTCCAGACTGTACAAGTAACTATATCTATGCACTCATAATTCACAAAGAATAGCAATAATCAAGCCCCCAAATTTTCAACCCGTAACATTATGTACAACCCTTAAAGACGAATGAGACCTTCAAAGTTTCTGGTATAAATCGGCAAGTGCACGATATAGGGCGGCTGCAGCAGGGGGCCTCGGCAACGAACCAAGGAGAATTTCTGGAGCTTTCAGTGACTGGCTACCATAAAATCTGGAGTTTTCTCGTGTTCGGGTAGTCACAACACTACCTTGTAGGGAACACCCAACAAAGGCACCTGTACCACAAAAAAAGTAGAACTTTAAACATGATATAAAGATATAACTAGGCCTCGAGAGCAAGCATCAACTTAACTTCCAGAGATAGAAACAACAGATACAGTCTAAATAGTAAAGACAGTGAGAAAATTGGTTTGAAGTTCACTAACTTCCCTAAACTCTTTTCAAGTTAAATCAACATCAACAAGAACTCTATGAATTATTGTAGACTTTGAAACCCATAATTATTCTTCTGATGAGCAAATTTTCTGCATATTTGACTATTCAAACCTTTTCTCAACAGGCAAGAGAGTGGAAAGCTTAGATTAAATTTTTCTGGCCATTAACAATTGCGTGATATAGAAAAGCATAATCACATGCCAACTCTATCATGCAACAACAGAACGTACAAATCAAAGTATAACATGGCAGAATACATGTGAACTCATAAACAAGGTGAACTTGATACCTTTACTGCAGCTGTATGTATAACAAGCAGCATAGCCTCCAGTTCCAGCACGAAGATCAGCTTCAGCAGTTCGCCCAATGATCCCAGCAGCAGCACTCACACCAGCTCCAACTGAAAGATGCGCATCACCACCAAAAGTCTTGACAGCATCAGTAGTTCTCAGAACAATAATGAAGTCAGTGAGTTCTCCACCAGCCTGCAAAATAGAAATCTGTTTTATGATTTATTGATGATAAGAAGTTCCTATTGAAATAGAAATGATATTTTGATTGATCTCCTTATAAAATTTTACACACTTCCTTCTTGAAGAAACTACGTTAAAGTAAGAATAGAAAATTTTACTAACTAGAGAACAGACATCTTTCTCCAACATTTAATGCTAAACAGAAATGGCCAGGGCTTAATACGAAGTCCCGTGATGAACTGCCAAAGCACCAATACTATCATGAAAGGAAGACTCTTTGCCATCCCAAATGAGGGTATATACAAATCATCCCAAGATGACATTTGAATTTGCTTAGTTACCCATTGATTATGGATAACAGCCAAAAGCCACTGGGTACCGATTTCCCATGTGGCAATTAATACACTCACCATCCATGGAAGCCATGTAAAATGCTCATATCTATGATTTCTTCCTACACTGATGAATGCATCTCAATATAGACAACCAAAGTGGCAATTATCCTCAATCCAAAATTAGTTGCCGGCTATATGAATCCACTATATTCAGACCACACTATTCAGGTCCGTAATTATCCTTTACTTCATTTAGCAGAAATATAGAAAACTTATGGTCAGTAATTATCCTTTACTTCATTCAGCAGAAATATAGTAAATTTATGGTCAGTGATTATAGTTTACTTCATTTAGCAGAAATATAGTAAATTTATTCACCTGAGCACCCCATCCCACACCGAAAGAAGAAATGGCCGAGGGGGGAGACCATGAACCATCTTCTCTACGCGCAATTACCAATCCGGTTCCAATGTTGTAGGTGACCATCACTCCAACTTTCACAACCGTAAGTATGGCAAGACCTCTTGCATTTTGTAGAATAGCTTCTGGAATTTTCTTCTCAGAACTCAACAAACCAATCTGAAATTTGTTGTTTCAGAATATTTCAGGCAGCCAATATTCATCATAAGATATCAGGAAATTAAATAAAAAAGAGATCCATGCTTGCTCCTAATTTTTTTACATATAAGATGCATACCAGTAGAACTCCAAATGGTAATTAGAGGCTAGAAGGTTAAATAGTACAATAATACAGCAATTGCTTTCAATATCAGATATTTAGCAGGAGTATTTTAGTATGAGTAGACATATAAAAGATGCAGCATTTAATATAAGAAACAGAACTCCATACCCTTTCATAGCCCCGAATAGTGTTAGTGGCCTTGTAAATTTCGTGTTCCATTGACTGTCCCCACGGGAAGTTTACCCAAGATCGCAATGTGCTCAGGTCGGTAAGGTCATGGGTTGGCAACTGAGCAGCACGGCTTACTCGATCCATTAGGTATGGCTGCACGGACTCAAGACGTACACAACATACATCACATACTCGTTGCGGTTCCCCAGTGCGAAATTTTTCAGGGAGCAAACTCTTTCCTTTAGTACATTCATTGCAAAATATTCCACCACAAAATCGACAATGATGCCTGCTGCACATGATAGGGTGGAACCGCACACTACATAACATACAAGAGGAAGATGCACTGTCAGGCAACCATTTGGGAGGATCTGCCTCGAGAATTTCCTGGGCATTACCAAAATTAGCTTCTGTGAGGGTTTGAGCCATCTCTTTCCAAGCCTGCTCAATGAGATGGCTTGATATCCACGCCATGTTACCAATATCACCAGATGCAAGAGATTGCACTTTCCCTCGGGCTGCAAGCAACATATCCACCACCACATCCCACATGGTCAACTCCTTGTCTTCCCCCATGCACTGATTCCAATCTGTGTCACCATCAGGAAGGTATCCCCCGTTTGAGCAGAAGCCTCTATTCCACTCTTCATGCTCACTCTCTGACATTGGAGGAACTGATACAGGAATCCAAGCTCCAGTTTCACCAAAGAGTGGTGAATCGTAGCAGAAATACCTTCCTTGATTTTGGTGGCATGTACTTTCTTCTACCATTTGAGATGACTGCGTTTCACATTCTCTATTTTCAGTTAATTGTGGGTATAGAGAGTTTCTTTTTACATCACTTTCGATGGTCTGTTGAATTAAATTAACATTAGAGATTATAGCTTTAACCATATCCTTACTTGTGCGTGCCCCCTTCTCATAGTTTTCTTCTGTGCACAAAGGTGAATCATGATCAGTCTCTTGCTTTCCAGCCACTGGCTTGCCCATGATATAACTCTTGTTGTTGTTTATGTGACCAGCACTTTGACCAGATGTTTCAGTACCACATTTTCCTACTTTATCCCAATTGCTGCTAATAATCTTCTCAGAACACTTCAAGATATTGTTCTGTCTCAGGGTTAGAGAATCTTCTTCAAATTCCCCTTTCGAGCAGTCCATATGATACCTTTCACTAGCTTCTCGAGTGTCTTGAAATGACCGTTTACTGAAAAGTTCCTGTGTCGCTTCACGTGTGGTTTGGACAGAGAAGTTGGCAACAAGTTCTTCTGCTCGATTATCTAGACGGCTTGTCAAACTTGTGTTCTCAGGAATTTCATCCCTTAGGTGTACAGCTAGTCTGTCATATTCTTCACGCTTATCCGTTTTCACAACATTTGAACCAATGACTGGATCAAAATCATCCAGGCCTCTGTTATCTCCAAACTTACTACAGTCCTATCACCAAAAAACACGATAAGTGTGTATTCTCATGTCAAACTTAAAATTTTTACTTGCACTTAGAAATTACTGCAACTCTTTACCTACATGAATAAATGAATAACAGGATAACTTTAGAAGAGAAAACTAGAGTAACTATCAACAAGCAGCAAATATCTGTGCGCTTCACCTAGCAAAAGAAATAGATCACGACAATTTGAAATGGAATATACCAAAGGAGGAGACATGTGAGTACCAACTATCAGCATATAACTAACACTCCTTATGCATGACTATTAGCAGGCTTTTTGTCGAAGAAAAATTTCTCAACTGCATAC